CACCGCAACCTCTGCCTCCCAGGTTCAAGTGATTCTCCTGCTTCAGTCTCCTGAGTAGCTGGGATTACAGGCATGCACCACCATGCCCTGCTAAAATTGTATTTTTAGTAGAGACGGGGTTTCTCCATGTTAGGCTGGTCTTGAACTCGCGATCTCAGGTGATCTGCCTGCTTCGGCCTCCCAAAGTGCTGGGATTATAGGCTTGAGCCACCGCGCCTGGCTATTTTAATTTAGGTAGAGATGGGGTCTCGCTTTTTTGCCCAGTCTGGTCTCTAACTCTTGGGCTCAGACACTCCTCCCGCCTTGGCCTTTAAACGTGCTGGGATTACAGGCATGAGCCGCCTCACCTGGCCAGGACTAGGCATCTAGATATAGGTTGTAGTGGGCTGTCCACGCCAGGAACTTGAATGGAGATGGATGTGGATGGGATTGGTCCAGGCCATACTCGGTAGGAGATGGCGGCATTTGAAGGAAAGGCAGGGGGAGGCTAGAGAGCAGCTTGGGTTAGGAAACAGTTTGTCCCAGAGTTCTGAGAAAGAAGTGAGCCGGCAGGCTGTGGGGGTACACGTAGAGGGAAGCGGTTGGCCAAGATGGCTTTTTTTTTTTTTTTTTGAGTTGGAGTCTTGCTCTGTTGCCAGGCTGGAGGGCAGTGGTGCAATCTCGGCTTACTGCAACCTCCGCCTACTGTGTTCAAGCGATTCTTCCGCCTCAGCTTCCTGAGTAGCTGGGGCCAGAGGCACGTGCCACCACGCCCGGCTAATTTTTGTATTTTTAGTAGAGACGGGGTTTCACCATGCTGGCCAAAATGGTCTCGATCTCCTGACCTCGTGATCCGCCCACCTCGGCCTCCCAAAGTGATGGGATTACAGGCGTGAGCCACCGCGCTGGCCCCAACATGGCTTCTAAGCTTCTTGAGGTTCAGCCGCTTGGGTCGTATTTTTTGTAGAGCCGGGGTTGTTGGGGTTTTTTTTTTTTTTTTTGAGACGGAGTTTCGCTTTTGTTACCCAGGCTGGAGTGCAATGGCGCGATCTCGGCTCACCGCAACCTCCGCCTCCTGGGTTCAGGCAATTCTCCTGCCTCAGCCTCCTGAGTAGCTGGGACCACAGGCACGCGCCACCATGCCCAGCTAATTTTTTGTAGTTTTAGTAGAGACGGGGTTTCACCGTGTTGACCAGGATGGTCTCGATCTCTTGACCTCGTGATCCACCCGCCTCGGCCTCCCAAAGTGCTGGGATTACAGACTTGAGCCACCGCGCCCGGCCGAGACGGGGGTTTTACTGTGTTGGCAGGCTGGTCTCAAACTCCTGATTCATGATCTGCCTGCCTCAGCCTCCCAAAGTGCTGGGATCTACAGGTGTGAGCCACTGTGCCCAGCCCATGAATCCATAGTGTTGCAGAGTTTGGGGGAGAGGGGCTCTAAAGTGGTGGCCAGAGAGGGTGTGGGGGATGTGGTTAGGTGAGGGGCTTACTGGAAGACGTGAGGATTTGGGGTGGGCTTGCCTTGTGGCTGGACAGGGTGGGGGGAGCTGGAGGGCCCTTACTTTGACTGGGTGAGGGGGATTGAGGCAGGGTTGCAGGTGATGTTAATCCCCCATACCCCCTCCCTGCAGCCTTCCTCTCCTGGTTCCGCAATGGCCTCCTGGCATCAGGCATCGGAGTCATCTCCTTCATGCAGAGTGACATGGGTCGGGAAGCAGCCTATGGTGAGTGCAGACTTCCACTCTTGCCACCCTCAGGGATCCAGGGAATGCACAGCCCCTGCCCCCTGCCCTCTGCCCTGGTGAGGCTAGACTCTCCCCGTCCTATCCCCAGAAGTAAGTACAGAACCCCTATTCTTCCCCTACCAGATGACACCCCTTCCCATGGGCACTGGGCCCACAAGTGGGTGGCCCAGGACATGGCTATGGTCCCCTCCCCTCCGATCTGATTCTTAAAGGTGCAGTCCAGACCCTACCACTGTTCCTGGCTTCTTTCCCATCCTGGCTTTGCTCCAGACCATTCCCCACACCCCGGGATATCTTTTCCTCCCCCAACCCCCCCCTTCCCGCCGCCCCACCTTGGGCCTGGCACTACCCTGCCTCTCCCGCAGGCTTCTTCCTGCTGGGCGGCCTGTGCGTGGTGTGGGGCAGCGCCTCGTACACAGTGGGCCTAGCGGCCCTGCGGGGACCCATGCAGCTGACGCTGGGGGGCGCGGCTGCAGGCGTCGGTGCGGTGCTGGCCGCCAGCCTGCTCTGGGCGTGCGCCGTGGGCCTCTACATGGGGCAGCTGGAGCTGGACGTGGAGCTGGTACCCGAGGACGACGGGGCGGCCTCCGCGGAAGGCCCTGATGATGTGGGCCGGCCACCATCTGAGTGAACCACACGGCCGCAGGGCCTGGCAGGCGCTGGACGGCGGTGCCCGAGGACTGGGACATTAAAACCTGACCTCCCCTCCTCCAGATGCCGAGTGCTGGTTCGTGTTCCTTGGGGAAGGGCGGCCAGGAGCGGACTAACCCGGGAGGCGGGAGAGGGAGACAAGGACCCGCGGGGAGACAGAAACGGAGGACAGAGGAGCTCACAGCCTGGAGCCCAAACCACTGCGGAGGGAGCCGGCGTTTAATTCTCAGGGCTACGGGCAGAGCAGGGCCCAGCGCCGGCGGCTCTCCAGTCCTCAGTCCCCCTTCCGCGGCAGCCTGGTGCCCACAGACCCCGGGTAGGGCAGGCCCAGGGGCGGGTAAAAGGCCTCCGGGAGCGCGGGGCCTGGGCCCAGCCTCTGCAGATGCGGGTACACCAGGCCCAGCTCCGCCGGGCCGTAGCGGATGGCACCAGGTGTGCACAGACCCCGCACCACGGGCGGCAGGAAGCCCGCATGCAGGAGGGCAGGCGGGGGGTCCCCGGGAGGTGCCAGGCCCCACGGCCGCACTGGGTCCTGCTTCAGGGCCCCTGCCCGGATGACGGAGGTGAACTCGGGCCGCGGTGGGGCCGGGTGGCCGGAGGGATCCTCGTCGCCACTGTCCTCTGAGCCTTTGGTTTCCCTCGGGACGGGCTCCACTTTGATGCGTTTGCCCTGCGTCTGGGGGACCTCCTTCTCCAGCGAGGCAGTCTCCTTCCCTTCCATTGGAGGCTCCGGCTCTGGAAGAGGAAGATGCTGAGGGCTTGCGTGTGTCCCCAGCCCTCAGTCTTCCCATCTGTGGAATGGAGCTGTGCTCAGTGGGCCAGGCCTGTAGTTCTCAGCTTGGAGTGTTTTTTTTTTTTTTTTTTGAGAGTTGTTCTTGCTCTGTTGCCCAGACTGGAGTGCAGTGACACGATCTCAGCTCACTGCAACCTCCACCTCTGGGGTTCAAGTGATAATTCTCCTGCCTCAGCCTCCCAAGTAGCTGGGATCACAGGCATGTATCACCACACCCAGTTAATTTTTCTATTTTTAGCAGAGATGGGTTATCACCATGTTGGCCAGGCTGGTCTTGAACTCCTGACCTGAGGTGATCTGCCCACCTTGGCCTCCCAAAGTGCTGGGATTACAGGCATGAGCCCCATGCTGTCTAGCTGGGAGTGGTTCTGTCCCCAGGAGAGACCTGTCAATATCTGGAGACATTTTGGGATGTCACAGCCCTGGGGAGGGTACCGTTAGCATCTAGAGGGGAGAAGCCAGGGATGCCATGAAATAAACATCCCAGTGTCTCCCCAGCACAGAACCACCTGGCCCTAAAATGTCAGTAGACCCGAGATCAAGAAACCCTGGTCTAGACCTGTGCTGTTCAATCCAGGTTTCCAGGATAGAGCTTTCTGTGGTATTGGAAACTTTCTATATCCGGACTGTCCCACGAAGCAGCCACTGGCCACAGGTGGTCACTGTACACACGAAATGTGGCAGGTATGGGTGAGGACTTGGATTTAGTTTTTTTTTTTTTTGCGGGGCTCATGCCTGTAATCCCAGCACTTTAGGAGGCTGAGGAGAGTGGATCACCTGAGGTCAGGAGTTTGAAACCAGTCTGGCCAACATGGCAAACCCCATCTCTACTAAAAATACTAAATGAGCCAGGTGTGGTGGCAGATGCCTGTAATCCCAGCTGCTTGGGAGGCTGAAGCAAGAGAATCACTTGAACCCAGGAGGTAGAAACGGCAGTGAGCCAAGATTTTGCCATTGCACTCCAGCCTGGGCAACAAGAATGAAATTCCATCCCCCCCAAAAAATAAATTTTTTTTTTTTTGAGACGAGGTCTCACCCTGTCACACAGGCAGGAGTGCAGTGCAACCGTCACAGCTCATGCAGCCTCTAACTTGCAGGCTCAGGCAATCCTCCCACCTCAGCCTCCCGAGTAGCTGGGACTATGGGTATGCACCACCACACCTGGCTCATTTTTTAAATTTTTTGTTAAGACAGGGTCTCGCTAGGTTGCTCACACTGGCTTTTTTTTTTTGAGACAGAGTCTTGCTCTGTCACCAGGCTAGATTGCAGTGGCATGATCTCGGCTCACTGCAACCTCCGCCTCCCGGGTTCAAGCAATTCTCCTGCCTCAGCCTCCTGAGTAGCAGGGACTACAGGCATGTGACACCATGTCCTGCTAATTTTTGTATTTTTAGTAGGGACGGGATTTCACCATGTTGACCAGGGATGGTTTTGATCTCTTGACCTCGTGATCCGCCCGCCTTGGCCTCACAAAGTGCTGCGATTACAGGCGTGAGCCACTGAGCCCGGCTACCCACACTGCTCTTGAACCCTTAGTATCAAGCAGTTCTCTTACCTTGGCCTCCCAAAGTTCTAGGGTTACAGGCATAAGCCACCACACTTGGCCTCGATTAAAATTTTTTTGTTGTTGTTGGAGACAGAGTCTTGCTCTGTTGTCCAGGCTGGAGTGCAGTGGTGTGATCTCAGCTCACTGCAACCTCCACCTCCCGAGTTTAAGCAATTCTCCTGCCTCAGCCTCCTGAGTAGCTGGCATTACAGGCATCTGCCACCACACCTGGCTCATTTTTATATTTTCAGTAAAGACAGGGTTTCACCATGTTGGTCAGGCATGGTCTCAAATTCCTGACCTCAGGTGATCAACTGCTCAGCCTCCCAAAGTGCTGGGATTATAGGTGTGAGCCACTGTGCCAGGCCCTAAGGTTTGTATTCTTAGTAGAAAGGTGGTTTCACCACGTTGGCTGGGATGGTCTCAATCTCTACACCTCGTGGCTGCCCGCCTTGGCCTCCCAAAGTGATGCGATTACAGGCGTGAGCCACCACGCCCAGCCTGGATTTTAACGTACATATGAATGGCTTCCTGTCGCTAGTGGCTTCTGGACTAGACAGCCAGTACCCAAAGATTCCTTGGTGTTTCCCAGGGGCCGAGGTGGGAGGTGGGGCTCACCTGTGGGCTCTGGCCCCGGGCTGGATTCGTCCTCACAGGTCATGCTGGCTGGAAGCTGGAAAGCATCCAAAGGAGTTTGGCCACCCTCAGTTTGGCTGGGGACAAGATGGATGCACGCAGTTAGGAGAGGGGTCCTTGGCCATCCAGGGATCCCTCCTGCCCCTCCCAACAAGTGTGGACACCCCAAAGGGTAAGTGTGGGAGCCCCACCCTGAGGCATTTACAGGGCTCGCCACCAGATCCCTAAACTCCAGGCTGATCTCTCTAGCCCAGCTTGGCCCTCTAAGGCCAGACCTGTACAGCTGACGGCCACCTGGATGTTGTCACCTGGGTGTCCCCTGGCGCCTCATGCCCATCTGATGTCTGCATCTTCCTTTCAATCCTCTCCGGAGCCCAAATCCAGACCCAGCAAAGCCAGAGACCCGGGCAGAAGATGATCTCCTCCCCTCCTCCCCCAGAGAGTCGGGCACTGCCCAGGGCTGGCCCCAGCCTTTGCCCTCATCCTCCAGCACCCATCTCGGCCCTCAGTGCCTCCCTTCATGGCAGTGAGGGGTCTCTTTTCCTTGTTTTTTTCTGAGAAAGGATCTCACTCTGTTACCCAGGCTGGAGTGCAGTGGTGCGATTTCAGCTCACTGCAATCTCCGCCTCCTGGGTTCCTGCTTCAGCCTCTTGAGTAGCAGAGACTACAGGTGCTCACCATTACACCTGGCTAATTTTTGTATTTTTAGTAGAGATGGGGTTTCACCATGTTGGCCAGGATGGTCTTGATCTCCTGACCTTGTGATCCGCCCGCCCCAGCCTCCCACAGTGCTGGGATTACAGGAGTGAGCCACCGCACCCGGCCTCATTTCTCACTGCTTTCTATTCTAGCCCCAAGCACTACCTTTAGGGTTAGGCTGCTGCTCGGAGCCCTGCCTCTGCTTCAACACTCGTCCCTGTTTCTGGCTTCTTGCCATGAGCTGCTCTGCTCTGGGGGCTTCCCCTACTAAGAGCCTGCTATGGCTCCCCAGGACCCCAGAGTCGAGAGTCCATGGTCAGGCATGGTGGCTCACACCTGTAATCCCAGCACTGTGGGAGGCCGAAGTGGGCAGATCACTTGAGATCAGGAGTTCGAGACCAGCCTGGCCAACATGGTGAAACCCTGTCTCTACTAAAAATACAAAAATCAGCCGGGAGTGGTGGCACATGCCTGTAGTCCCAGCTAACTCAGGAGGCTGAGGCAGGAGAATCACTTGAGCCCAGCAGATGAAGGTTGCAGTGAGCCAAAGTTGCACCACTGTACTCCAGCCTGGGCAAGAGACTCCGTTTCAAAAAAAAAAACAAGAAAAACAAGAAGTCCAGACCCTCCACCTGAGCCTGAGGAGGCTGTGAGCCTGCCCCGGCCTTCCTCAGAGATACTGTCCCCCTCCCCCTGGTGACTCCTCTCTGTCTCCCCCCAGCAAGACCGTTCCACTCTGGGTCTCTGCCCTCACCATCCTCCCCTCCTTCCCCTTCATGTCTGCAGACCGCTCAGGCTTGTCCCGAACTACAAGCCCTCCCTGAAGTGGCCCCACTTGAGGTGGGGAGAGACAGCAGGGCCCTAAGTCCCCTGCAGGAGGGGTGGGCACAGCCCTTACCTGAGCACATGGCTGACCCAAAGCACGTGGTGCTCCCCGGGGCTCTTCCCGCTGCCAGCCACCGTGGCCACAGACTGCAGCCACACAAAGCCCCCGGTGCGCTGCAGCCAACGGTAGTAACCAGTCATCACCTGACCCTTGTCCAGCACTGGGCCCAGCCCAGGGGCGGGATAGATGGGGGGGGGGGGGGAGAGAGGGAAGGGGGGGGGGGGGGGACAGGGGCAAGGCAGAGACAGGTGGATAGGAGACAGGAGAGGCAGAGTGAGAGAAAGCAGCAGGGTGGACAGGGAAACAGCAGGGAGGAGAGAAGAGAGAGAGAGACAGAGTCAGAGAGACTGAGAGGTAGCCCAGCAGCGAGGCCTCTTGGGTATTTGAGAGACCCCACAGCCACCCTGACTCCCTGCTACAGCCTGAGCCACTGCTCAGTCTCCTTGCTGCTCTTCCAGTGCAGCAGGAGGGACTGTGGGCAGCCCTGAAGGAGGACTTCCAG